AGTGTGTGTACTGTGTGTGTACTGAGTATCGCGTGTGGGACATCCAGGGTGATCCAGAGTGTGAACAGTGAGTGTTTGAGGCGCACAGTCGCCATAGCCAGTGGAAGCAAACTTATCTGGAAGACATATCTCTGTGTACTGTGTGGGCGCAAGTCACCAATTGTATGCTGCTGTTCACGTGCCTGAAAAGTGTGAGTAAGTCGAGTTTGTTCACGAAAGACACAGGTAGGTCTAAGTGGTGAGGAGTGGGACTTTTGTCGTGCACCTGACACCACGATGGATGACTATCCGATGTATGGGTTGCTTGTAGGGTTCTCCCTCTTAAGGACCCTCTGGCGTCTCTGGGCGTCTGGCCCACTTTCACGTGTAGAGTAGGAACCCGGGGTGACACTTCCACCCAACCTTACACGAAGGAGGAGGAGGAGAAGATGGCCACCATCCTGCAGGAGAGAAAGGAGAAGAAGGAGGCTAAGAAGAAGGCCTTGATGGAGGCGCAGGCGGCCAAGTTGAAAAGGATAGAGGAAGAGATGGCGAGGGAGAAAGAGAGAATAAAGAAAGAAGAAGAGGAGAAGTTGAAAGAAATGGAGGAGGAAGATGACCAGCCACTGCAAAAGAAGAAAGGGTAGTAAAGTGACAGCAAAGGTGAAGAGTTGGAGAAACGGATTTCAGAATGGGTCGCCAACTTATCCCTGGGAGAAGAAGAAGAAGTAACTATGTATATCCCCAAGGAGGACCAGGAAGCCGCTATGAAAAAATGGGAAGCAGAAGGAGATGTTTTGAAGCGGCAGGCGATGGAAGATGAAACGAGGATGGAGTGGAAACTTGCAATGATGAGGGAGAAGAAGAGAAGAGTAGACGCGGCGACTGAAGCGGTCAAGGAACTGGAGGAGGTGCAACAACTCACGTTAAGAATGACCCCTCAGGTAGACCTCGAGCAAAAGGTACAATTCATTGCTCAGAGTGTTGAGCGCTTAGCCCGAGTGCAAGAACGACAGTACGATTTTAGTCGAAGTCAGGACATGGCAGTGCGCTCAATGCGAATGGGGTTTTGAGACTTTGCTCACGAATTGGTAGGCGAGATAGGAGCCGAGGTGAACCATCGCCTCGAGAACACTGAACGTTTCTGCGCTGGCGCCATTGAGGGCGTCAAGGCGGCAACTCCCAAGGAGGAGGAGCCACGTCCGTGTAGAGAGCGAGTCAATGTCAAATTCCCTGATTCCTACAGTGGGAAGAGGGAAGAGAATTTTTACAATTGGGAGGCCAACGTCAAGACCTACGTGCATCTACAACAGGTCTCCCTTGATCAGCAAGTTCTAATTGTGATCCATGCACTTAGAGATGAGGCCGCCAGTTTCGCAAGGTCCCTTGTTCGTGCTGCCAACTGCAGTGATGATCCAGTTGCGTATTCCTCGTTCACTTCCCTCACTGAGTTCATGAAATTGTTGCACGAGCGATTTGCTGATGTCGCTCGAAGTGTCAAAGCCTCGGACAAGCTCTAGACGATCCATGCCCGTAAGTGGAAGAGTGTCAGGGCACTCAAGAGCACAATGGACGAACTAGTAGTTGTCCCTGACCATGGGGTTACAGACACTTAGTTGGTTGTCCTCTTCTATAGAGCGATGCCCGAAGCTTTTCGCGGGCACTTTTTCGCGAAGAGCGAAGACCCTGCCACCACTTATGATTCCCTTAGCCGTGAAGTGGTGGCCTTTGAGGCAAAGTCTGTGTCAATCCCCACCTTCTGGCACAAAGATTTGGATAAGGGGAAGCAATGGAAGGGCCGCACTATGTCTGGGCAAGTGAAGACTAAAGATAGTCTTGTCTTAACTCTAGACGAGGGTAGTGTGGATGAGATCCCCTACGATCAGATTGAGTGGGGGTTAGAGGAGGAGGACAGCGGCGTGGGCCAGGGGAGAACTTATGCTGCTGTCGCGGCTGGAGGGAGGCCGCAAGGAGGAGGACGAGGCTAGGGCCAAGGGGGCCGGGCCTCAGGGGGCCGGTTCCAGGGCGATCAGGGGGTTGGCGGCAAAGGAGGAAACCGCCAAGCGGGAGGCAGGGGTCAAGGTCCCCCGCAAGACCGTCCGAGGAACAGGTCTCCCTACAGGGTAGGAGGATGGCACCCGGGGCTACCACAGGGTAGGCCTTGGGAAACTTTGGGTCTGGACCATACTTTATGGCAACAACGATTGGACTCGGGCCAGTGCATTTTCTGCGGTGACCCGGGCCACATCATCAAATACAGTCCTAAGTATCGAGAGACCCGAACAAGTGCTCAAGGGCCAAAAGGCAGCCGCTGGTAGGGGTAGCAACTGCCCCTACCATCAGGCCATGTGGAAAAAATAGCGCTAGCCGGCAGGAGACTCCCACACCACATGTGCCTATGGCAGAGGTTGCAGGCCGGTGTCTAGATAGCTGCCCAGAGACTGCTTGTGTCAGGGTCTCTCTAGACACCTCCCTCACAGGCGTGGCCGAAGAAGGAGAGGAGGCCCGCCTGGGCCAAGATGAAGAAGGAGAATAAAGGGCAGCTTATATTACTAGATACAAAGATTTTTAGAGGTAGAATAGGGGCCCTAGTAGACTAAGGGGCCACCCGCAGCTATATTAGCAAGAAAGTGCTGCAGAAGTTGAAGCTGGGACTTAAAGTCCAAAAGCCAGCAGACCCTATAGTTAGTATCCTCGCGGACAATCGTACTATGGTTGTAGAGGAGTACATAGAGGGAGTCCAGGCGTACTTCCACCTAGAAAAGGATGGGAAAGTGGAGAAGGTCCTCCACTCCCTGACTCTCCTCGTAGAAGACAGCTTCCCATTTGATATTGTTCTGGGAATGGATTGGGGAGAGGCAGTCGGGGCCACATTCCATCTGAAGGAGCACGAGTGTAGGCTCCCTAGTTCTTAAGGCGAGGCTAAGACTGCCCGTCTGTTCCATGTGTCAGGAGTAAAGAATCCCTTGGCACATTACTGCCTTAGTGCCCCTGCGTTCGCCAGATTAGTGAAGAAGGAGAAATTGGAGGAACAGGTTTTTGTTGCCTACGTTAGGCGAGTCACTGAGCCTACGGAAGAAAGGCCGATGGACCCTGCGATTGCCAAGCTGCTGGAAGAGTTTAAGGATTTAATTGAGCCGCCAACAGGCACGGTGCCGCGGCCCATTTTGCACCGTATTGAGATAGAACCTGGCAGTAGAACTCCTAAGGGTGCCATGTATAGGATGTGACTGGATGTCCCCGCGGGAGTTAGAGGAGCTTCGCAAGCAATTAGACGAGCTCCTCGAGAAGGGTTGGATTAGGCCCAGTTTGTCTCCTTTCGGAGCGCCTGTTCTCTTTGTTCCTAAGAAAGAGGGAGAGTTAAGAATGTGTATAGACTATAGGGGTCTGAATGCGATTACAATGAAGAATGCTGAGCCACTGCCTAGGATAGACGATCTCTTAGATCGAGTGCAGGGGCCTAAGTATTTCTCTAAGATAAACTTAAAGTCCAAATATCAAAAGATAGAGGTACATCCTGATGATCAGTATAAGACAACCTTCCGGACTAGGTACGGGCATTATGAGTTTATAGTGATGCCCTTTGGACTAACCAATGTGCCAACTCTTTTCAACGGTGTATGAATGATTTGTTTAGGCCATGGTTAGATAGATTCGTCGTAGTTTACTTAGACGACATCCTAGTGTTTAGCAAGACCCTCGACGAGCATCAGGGTCATCTCATGCTGGTCTTGGAGAAGCCGAGGGAAGCTAATTTCAAGATCAATGCAAAGAAGTGCGATTGGGAAAAGACCCAAGTTTTGTATTTAGGCCACGTCGTAGACGGAGACGATGTCAAGCCGGAAGATAGTAAAATTGCAGCGATTAGAGATTGGCCTACGCCGCGTACGTTAACAGAGTTGCGGTCGTCCCTAGGCCTAGCCAACTACTATAGGAAGTTCGTGAGGAACTTCTCCACCATCGCTGCACCCCTTCGCAAATTGCTCAGGAAGGAGACCATCTGGAAGTGGGATAAGGACTGCACGTCTTCCATGAAGAAATTGAAGCAAGCATTGCTAGAGTACCCGGTCCTTAAGGTAGCCGATCCATCCTTGCCTTTTGTCGTCACTACGGATGCTAGCTTGTACGACATAGGCGCGGTGTTGCAGCAAGACGATGGCAATGGTTATAGAATCGTAGAGTTCATGTCCGCCAGAATGCCTTTAGAGAAGGTCGCGACATCTACCTATGAGAGGGAACTCTACGCTCTCAGGTAAGCCTTAGAACATTGGAAGCACTACTTGCTTGGGAGACACTTCAAAAGTCTATTCCGATCATGAGACATTAAGGTGGTTAAAGACGCAGGCCAAGATGACACCTAAGCTTACTAGGTGGGCTGCAGAGATAGATCAGTACGACTTTGAGCTCAAGCCTGTCAAGGGAAAATATAACGTAGTTGCGGATGCTCTGAGTAGGAGAGCAGATTACTTTGGGGCAATAGTGCATTACCTAGACATAGGGAAGGACCTGCAGCAGAAGATTAGAGAAGCCTATGCGCAGGATCCTATCTATAGTGACCTCCTCAAGAAGGTCAAGTAGGCCCCAGAGACTGAGCCAAACTACCACACTACGGAAGGGTTGCTTTTTTAGAAGACTAATGTATTTGACCGCCTGTGCATTCCCAATAGTGAAAAGATCCGTAGTTTGATTTTGGGAGAATGCCACGACACAGAGGGTCATTTTGGTTGGCAAAAGACTTTAGCCAATCCGATAAGCGCATATACCTGGCCAGGAATGAAGAATGACTGCGTAGAGTATGTTCGCAGTTGCAAAGTCTGCCAGCGTAACAAAAGTTCTACGCGTGCCCCGCTAGGTCTTCTCAGACCCTTACCCATTCCGGATCAGCCGGGAGACTCATTGTCCATCGACTTCATGGACACCCAAGTCAAAAGTAGGCATGGCAAGAGTCAAATTATGGTCATAGTTGACCGTTTTAGTAAGTACGCAGTTTTTGTTCCTTTGCCTTCAGAGGCACGTACTGATTTAGTCATACAAAGATTTTTTGACTGTTGGGTGAGTGAGAATGGGATCCCACTGTCAATAGTTAGCGATATAGATAGTCACTTTACTAGCCAGAACTGGCAAGAACTCATGGGAGTATATGGATCTAAGTTGTTGATGTCGTCCGTCCGTCATCCAGAGACGAACGGTCAGACAGAGCAAATGAACAAGATCCTACAGCAAGTTCTGCGCATGTACATTAGGCCAGATCAGATTAGCAGGGACGAGATGTTGCATAAAGTAGCTAGTGCATATAATAACAGCGTGCATTTATCCACCTGCCGCACTCCCAACGAACTGCACAAGTCCTTTATACCGCGCAGACCATTTGAGGGACTCAACCGGGATCAGACTCACAGATTACCGCCCGGGACCAGGGAGTTTGCTGTACAGCACGAGAAAGAACTAGCTACTGTTGTAGAGAACCTCAGGAAGGCCAAGGATAGGATGATAGAGCAAGCGAACAAACATCGTCGCCCTTCACAGTTTCAAGTAGGCGACTTAGTCTGGGTCAGTTCTAAGGAGTTTGCACCAGAGGAGAACATCTCGCAGAAGTTACTGCCGACATATAGAGGACCGTGGCCCGTTTTAGAAGTCAAGGGCGGCGAAGATGGACCGTCTTATACCATAGAACTCCCAGCACACCTCCACACTTACCCAGTTTTCCATGCATCGAAGTTATTACCTTGTCAAACAAGTAATCAGTTTCCATTCCGTAGATCGATGATCCCACCGGATATGGATGGAAGATATGATATTGATGGTATAGTGGCTGAGGATGACTTCAGAACTGGAGGTAGGGGTCGTCCGCAAAAACAGTACAAGGTTCATTTTAGTTATCAAGAACTAGAAGACGACCGCGGGTTTACGAGATCTGAACTTCTAGAGACGGCTCCCGATATAGTCTGGGCCTACGAGAGACAACAGAGAGGTAAAGGTCCTGCCTTGGACTGAAATTTTCTTGGAGGACCTCGAATTTAGGCCGGCGGGAGTGAAACGGTATTCACCAGTTCGCAGTAGCTGATGCAGATCCCAGGGCTCGATCCCTCGTTCCCCATCTTACCTGTGTACAGTACCGGTGTCAACCCGTAGATTTGAACCTGCTACCTGTAGGACCGCCAGTGGTAGGTAGGTTTTCGTAGGTCACAGGGTAGAAGGGAATCGAACTGTAGACCTGTAGGATAGG